CAAGGTATGATTGGACATAACCAACCTCTATCTGCTACACCCAAAACAGAAACTTTCTGACAAACAGATGAGCCCATTCTCTATTCTAGCAAAAGTCAGACAGTTGGCATACAAACTCCATCTACCTGCCCACTGAAAGGTTCACAATGTGTTTAATAAAATACTTCTCACATTATACATCACACTAGCATTCTCAAATCAGAAACAGCCACTTTCTCTCTCATCTGACCTGATCAATAATGAAGAACATTATAAAATCAATCAAATACTAAATCACAAGTTGCAAAAAGTCAAAGCTAAGAGAGGTGGCATGATGATAACTGTAGATTACCTGATTAGTTGAAAGGGCTATAGCATTGAATTAAACTAGTGGATCAATGAAAAGCAGATGAATGCTGTAGAGATGATACAGAAGTACAAACTATCTCTAAATTAAGCTATTGGGATGATAGTCTTAAGGAGAGGATAATGTTATAATTTTTCCACTTTTATTCCTCTTTCTATAAATTAACCCCTATTTATGCTTAGTCAGGGCATCTAAACTAGACACTTAGAACTGTGAGAGAAGCTTAGTCATTACAACAAGCTAATCCATTATTATTCTCTAATGCAGCAACTAGCTCTCAACAATGCACAATCAACCTTTTGTGTATAGTAGCAATACCTAAAGACAATGAGCACAAGGACTTGAAAACATACAATAGGTAGTTATATATTTAATTCTATGATATACAGTATATAAGCAGACTCACTCTTGCTAGTAATTCCAAGCTTCAAGCTAAAGTTTATTTATACTCATTCTACTCTTGAGCTACTTCTCTTACATCTTGAAGCATTATGATCAAAGAGCACATCAAGTGGACTCTAGGAGAAGGCTCAAACATGAAGTCACATTAGTTTATCACATGTTCAGATCATGTGCAGCTTAAGCCTAACAGGCCTGCCAACTTTGCAAGCCTATAAAAGATGATACTGAGTCATGTAGATATTTTGTAATTTAGCAGAAGTAGCAATATTGATAGGTATAAAAATAAGCTTAAAAAAGTAACTGTATGAGCTGTGAATGACAGGAAAGAATGCATTTTATACCTTCTATTACTGATAACATAGTCTGCAACTTCTATACCACACTAAAAATAATGTCCAAACTGTTGATGGCCTATAATAATTGGTATAGTTGGAATTTAAGTGAATCTATGTGGCATATAAGGAGTTAGTGATCTGAAAGATAAATCAGTCAATAAACAGATGAAATAATACTTATAAAGAGGCAAGTATATAATGTTTTCAGCCTTGAAATAGGACTGTGTAGATGCATAAGCTACTGAATATGCTGCTGAAAAAACTATACTATATATCTAATCTCACTTAAATATTACCTTTTCACAAGCTCAAAACTTTATATAGGTAGTATCACTGTTAGAAATAATTCTTTAAGCTAACAGAAGCTAGCTCTACATGATGAAATGGGAATTTCAGTGACTATATGTATGCTAAGAAGTGTACAGACAGGATCATTCATCTATAGTAAGCTTTATAATTGCTGAAAATGATAAAATGATAGTTGTGAGACTTATAGTGTGAGTTGGATATTAGTATTGAATGCAAGCAAGGTCATCCATATTGCTGTCATTGTCATTGAGCAACAAGATGAATATTACAAAGAGTTCCACTATATATATGCATTCAGATTATCAAGGTTCATCATATTGGAAACAGCTTGGTGACTTTCATCATTGTTGCATTGATAATGATAGTAAAAGGAAGAGAGACTTTGGGCCAGACCATATCTCTGCATCTCCATCTCAGTCAATATTAACTGCAATAGATCACATCTGTACCTAAACTGCATATTAGCAAAGTTTTTGATAAGTGCAGTGGATACAGCTGATGATGTGCCCTAAAGAGATGAAAGTAAACAGACAGAATAGAAAGTAGCATAGGATGGACCCAAAAAGAATTCAAGTACAAATCATCTATATATAAGTCAAATTTCAAAATATATCTATTGTCCCTTCTATGACAAAATCATTTCTGATTCCTGCTTCCACTGATACTGTTCTTTTATATAATGAATAGCTTAAGTAAACCCCCAGCTGGAAAGCATATAATCACAACTATTCTATAGTATAATAAGCATAATAATCATTGCTTGCTATAAATTACATTCTATGGATCAATTGTTCATTTAGTCAAACTCAAGGCACAAGAATACAACCAGCAAGTAAATTTACAAGTCATACAATTAGGTGAAATGCTACATATTACTGTTAAGCCCAAATTCCATATGACCAATAACATGTGATAAACTGACACAACCTTGCACTTTGGGTTAGAATGTCAGAGTCCACTTGATATGTTGATGGTGCTGTGTTGTCAAGGCATTGCAAGTCACTCAAGATAAGATGGTGAAAGAATAAACTTTAGCTTGAAGCTGGGGTTACTACAGCAAGAGCTATGCTACTTAAATACTAAATGCTTATCATTCTAAGAATATCTCTATCTAATTGTTTATCCTGGTGCTGTATAGTGCTTTGTCCAGTGTCACTAAGATACCTACAAAAGAGTATTGTCTGCTGTTGAGCTGTTACTGCTGTTACTGCTGCAGAATGACAAAAGAGATACACTGCCATTAAACAGCAGTTAAACAGCAGTGTAGTAGAACCTGGGTTGGGATGCTGACTAATTCTCTCATGGTCCTAAGCACCAGTCTAGGTGCCCTGACTAAGCAGAAATAGGGGTCAATCCTGAAGAGTTCAAGGGAAAAAAAAAAGAAATCAGGAAAAATCGTAACAATTACTCCAATGACGAAGCCATTTCGCAAGCTTCTTAACCGCATCTTCACCATCAAAAAAGTCTCTTCCATTCAATGAGACGGTCACTCCTAATCCAGCTTCTTTCAGTTTATATACTTGCAACAAACGCTGCCTCCAGTCAGAATTAGCCGGAAGGTGATAGGTCCTCAAAGCCTCGGTGTATGGAAACGACAAGACCAGCGATTGCAGCCCACATTTGTGTCTGGATACTGCCAGGGCGTATAGGGAATCGTCTTCAAATAATGATGTTGCAGGAAAGCAGATATGCAGAGACAATCGCTGAAGACATGGGACGAACAAAGGTTCTGCCAATCTTTGCACTATTTCAGTTGCCGTTTTCTTGTTTACGGCAATGACGAGATCTGTGAGGGACGTAAACATCCCCATGACGATATCGTTAAGAACCGGTAAAGGAAGAGGCCTGTACATGGCGAAGGATCGAAGACGGGGTTTGGAGCGCTTCAACAATTCGGAGATCATTCCAAGTTCATGTACAATATAATCGAGTCCTGAACACCGCTCTTTAAGACAAGCAAAAAGAGTCAGGTCCTCCAGTGCTGGAAAAGTACAATACTTCAGATCTGTGGGAATTTCGTATCCCAGTGAAAGCTGTCGGATATTTAAATGGGTTATTTCCGATAATGGTGCCGGAAATTTCCACATGTCCGAACAACCGTCAGACATGCTATGGAAGGTGAACGATTCCAGTTCCGTCCCTTCCGCAATACAACCATAGACAAGGGATTTGTCAGACGTCTCGCCTAGCTCAAAGTCGAAACTGATGCTCGTGAGTTGATGAAGAGGAAGCGATAATTTGGCAAAGAAGTCGCCAGCTATTGTAACGGAGCGTAGTAAAGGAACGGAACGGAAAATCCGGGAAAGCGCGGTACCAAAGTAATCTCGTGGGTGATTGTGGTACATGGTAAAATCCAAGCTTTCTAGCATTGGGAGGCGTCCCGAGATGTTCAAAAGGCCACGGATGCTTTCAGGACTAGAGACACAGAGAGACAGGGATTTCCACCGTTGAGATGTAGGAGCGATGCATTCTGTCATTAACGCCCGTGCCTGTGAGGTGTAGCCCGAGCTCTGAATTGACATGCTGAGGGGACAATTTCTGGACAGAGCGAAGGCGGTGTGGAGGAGGAGACGATTCTTCGAGTTGTATGATTCACTCGTCTCCCACTGGTGTTTAGTTACATTGATGTTCACCTTAGACCAAAGGGATGGCGATGACAAAACAAGGACCCTCCATGTGTAGCATATGCTACGAAGGATGAACGGAGGTGATGTGAGGCACATCTCACTATCACCAACTGCCAAATTGAATATGTGCAGCAGGACGTCAGGTGGTACGCGTCGGATAGGGGACAATAGTGATTTATTATCAAAGAGATCAGCCACGGTGTGATCGCACTCCTCTTGAAGACGTTGTAGAACAGATTGGATCGAAGCGATTTCCTTTTGATGAGATTGCACTTCGATATTCAGACGTTGTATTCGGGTATTGATGGAATTGATCATGGAGGAGTCCAGGTCCAGAGACGAGAAGCCGGCACGAAAGAATGGAAGGAGGTCCACGTCCGTGGTATGAGGTTTAATTTCATAATTGACCCTCTCAAGGCGAGGAGAAGAGGATAACTTTTTCTAATAGCAAGTTAGAGGAGGTACATTGGCTTGAATGCATCTAATACATACCTCGACTTCACCCATGTTCCTTGTGAGTGTCTTGTTTACCCCTCGATAACGGCTAGGAATAGTCTGTCAGTTAATGGATCAGATGGGTTGAGAATGAAGGTGGAAACAAGGTAAGATATGCCTACCCTAGAGATGACAGGGTTGCAGTAGGAGATGGTGATGGTACCAAGGTACGAAGCTCGCTGGTACCTCGGCTTAAATACTTTGCAAGTGAGATGTCTCACATCCTGATCTTTTATATGATATATGCAAAAGACAACGCAGACCAAAAAATCGCAGTCGAAACATGGAACAAGATCGGTGAATTCCGAGACCTAAACGAATTAGTACAGTATTCGAAACAAAAAACTAAATCAAGTCATCCAGCTAGAGACACCAGACTTCACACTAAATGGTGCCCCTAACCTCTATGCTGTTAACCTGAAAGCAAAGTAGAGCAGTCAAATGTCGCATGCGTGAAGAAAACGTGAACGCATCAACCCGTCACCGCTCCGAGTTCGTGCAGAAATGTTATGAGCATCGAATTATCTCGAGGGCTTAGCTGCATTGACTATACAAGCATGTATAAGCCAATGATCAGAGATAGCACGACGATGGCATTCACATTGTATAGGTCATGATATTCTTAGCTACGAGCCTCGAGGATGGTTGCTGGACGCCATCATGGGCTTTTTGATATCACCATCGTCAAGACAAAACAAAGTGCGATACCATCGCTCAGACGTCCCCGACACCACATGGCACACGGCGAGACGTAGCATCATCGATGGAGAGTATCCTATCGCCATGGAGTTCGCGATATATGACACAAGGAATCGTCCCTTGAGAGCCGTATGGCTCGGCTCTTGATGGTTAATATGGCCCTTATCATAGGCCATAACTTGAATAGCAAAATGTGCTTTCACACAGTGATTGCCAAGGAGCCTCGAGGACTGTCGCGATGGAAGCGAACGTGCTTGGTACAACACATTGGCGATAGCTCTTCCTCGCAGAGGGAGAAGTATTGACGTTGTGATAATATACTTCACGTACAGCTTCCACATCCGAGAATGGTATCGTGTATTTTTGATCCCTGCGTTGATTCTTTTCTGACGGTTTCTATGAATATACCAAAGACCTTCGGAAACCGGGCTTGCTTAGACAGTAATAAGGGCCGAGGAACGATAGTCATATCTGAGAGAAAGGTCAGTACAAAAAGGTTACGTGGTTGAGCGACCAAAAGAGGTCCTGCGGCGACGAGGGCAGCACCGAATTGTGAAGATGGTGGACCGCCTGAAATGCATTAGACAGAATAAAGACATCTCGAATCTATCGGTCAAAAGGCGGAAAACAATAGCCGAACAATGAAGGAGGTTGATGGAGGGTGAAAGCTTGAGGGCAAGCTGGCCTACACAAGGCACATCAGTGAAAGATACCATAGATAGCAACCTGGAGCATACCTAAGATTTCTACAGATATCACTTCTCTCCACTCTTGGTAGATGCAATTGTCTTTGCTGAAGATATCATCACTAAATTTGCGATAGCTGAGATTTGTCGGCGAATTAAATGTTCATGTCAGCGGGAAAAAGAAACAATTGGTATACACGGACCTACCATTTTCTATCCATGCATTTGGAGAGAGCATGTAACACTGTAGTTGATGACCTTGAATTGAAGGCCCCCTCTCTCGGAAACCAGACATTGAGGGTCTCATCAAGCCGCCGGCACCCGGCGCTGATCATGCTACTGCTCGATAAAGATACCTCTTTCATGCATTGCCACCGAAAATCCTAAAGGCAGTACAAATCGAGAACCATAAGGAGAACATAGCGAAACAGTTAACTGACTGTGCGTTGTCAGCCATAATCAGCATCAAGGCCAAGAGGAAAGTCGATTCGTAAGCACAGGTTGCGAGAAAAACTGTCAGCACACCTAATGTCAAAGAACGGGCGCCTTCATAGAATTCGATTAATGGCCTTTAATAGTCGGCTGGCGCATCTTCTCTAGAGACTGGTTAGACTTCAGGAAATCCACAAGGTGGAATAGGAAGATAACTCACAAAGTTCACCGAAACCTATATCTTGTCAGTAGCACAACCCTCATTGAATCCCACGAGAGATTTTTGCGGTGAGTCCACGAGCTCCGCCAGGTGTAACTTCAAAGTTCTGGCAAGGCCACTTGCCTACTCTGCATGTCAAACAAACAAGGGTAGTGTGTAAGGATGAAACAATGAGTTGGAAAAGTCTTATACAAATTATAAGAAAAGTCAGTACAGAAAAAAGTTGTTGGGATAGCAATCCCGAGCCAATACGAGAATGTACTCGAAGATGCTATGTCAATCAGTGGCAGCTGACTTCGACCATGATCAGGACTTATATAGTATTTCGTAGAAAACTCTCAAAGTAGTACAAAATGTATTTAAGTATGATGTCTCTCTCTCGAGAGGCTAATCTAATCCTCTGTATTGTACTCTCCTCTATACTTACAACACAAGTAATCACTCTCGATAAAGCACTTTATCTTTTCCATACTGTTCCCATCTTTATGTGCTATTTTTGGTGCCGATCATTGTGCACTGCCATCTACGAATCCCCAAAGTCCGGTTTGTTCGTACCTGAAGGAGTTCTACTTCCACCGCATCTCTCTTTACGGACACACGATAAATCTTTAGGATAAGATCGCGTGAGACTCCGAGTTGTTGGCGGTCAGTTAACTTCATCCGATCTAAACAACCTTCAACTTAACTACCTCCTTTAGCTGAAGAGCGCCAATGAGTATTATAGTGATAATGTCTGACGGGACTCTTGCTGTCATGCGTAAACCTTTAGAAAATGGATTAGTACTTCCCTAGTAATAATCAGGATACCTTTGTAAAATCTATGCATTCAGAAGATGAGAGAGAGTTCCTAGGAACTTAGAAGTAAGTTGAGGTTCAACTGTAACCTCGGAAGGATTGTGTTAGTAGAAAGCCGATTAACTTAATGAGGTTCAGTGTATGCTTAAGATCACTCAATTGATGATACATAAAGCAGAAGTAGGTTAAAAAACAAGAGGAGCATATTATATACTCTTCATTTCAATTGTGAGAATATTCTATTGACTCCTAGCATGTTGAAGCTAGAGTCACTGTAAGTACAAGAGCTGCGGCATATGCACATAGCCATTGGTAATAAGGGGCATTACCATAACACATGCTAGGAAGTCAACTTCCTCGAGATCACAGGAGCCTGGGACCCTTCCTGCTCTCTTCCTTTAACAAGAGGCGTCAGGATCATCATTGCTATACCATTGAACAGTTCCGTGCCAGAGTCAAGAAACTCAAATGATTTCAAGAGCTCGGCCAGGATCGAGCAGTCCGTATTTCCATCTAGGCGGTGTTAAAGAACTAGAACAGAGGAGGAGAAAAAGCGTACCCAATACAGCCGCGTGCACCATCACCTAAAGTAAGCGTGAGACAGTACAAATATTAAGAGGGATAAGACTCACTGAAAGTAAGTCTAGTATTTTCAGTATCAGTCGATGTTTAGAGAAAGATCAACTTACAAATTTGCGTAGAGACCAACCGAGGACCTATTCTTCTCCTCCGTTTTGAGGAATCGCTCGGGCATCCATTCGTCCACGTCATTTCCCCATACACTCGGGAGTCTGCACAGTTGTTTAGGCGAACATTTAACATGTAAATCAAGAGCAAGATGACATACCGATTGTATGTATAAATTGATATCATCACCATTTGCCCCTTCTCTACCGATACCTCGTTCTATGTCTCACCAGTCACTGTTTGGATCGGCTCGCTTAACGGGATAACATCGTCTTCCGTTGCACATCGCAAAATGTTGTACAAGATGGGATGCAGACGGAACGTTTCCTAGAGATGGTTCATAATAAATAGACAGAAAAAGAGGGACAGTTACGTTGATGGCAGCATTTAGAAGCGGCATGGATTCATAGTCCCCGGATCCTTTCCGGATTTCCTCTCTTACAAGGGTTTGGTGATCAGGCCGTCGACTTAGTTCGTAAAGTACCCAGGCTATTGCATTGCTTGGAGGCTCTTCACCTCCGAGAGTGATTGCCCTAAGGAATAATCAACGAACTTGTCAGAGAAATTAGAGGATCTTTCCGATACGCCGACTGTGACAATGTCTCATCCTTGTCCATCTTTTTTTCGTCGGAGGCCCTGGCTATAAGAATGCGCTTGAGTGTACGCTAAATCGACTGAATAGACACCTACCAAGGATAGTGCCAAGATCCTTCGAATCGTCGCGAGCGACGTTCTCAATTGCCTGACGTGCCAGCTGTTTGGCCGCATCTCTGAAGTTATGCATGATCCTATCCTCTTTTCGTGGTATTCTATCGTGGATAGACAAGATCTTATCTGGCAGGAAACGCCAGAGAGCGGGAGTAAGAATGGTGAGCGACGTGGCAACGATTTGGGAGAGCGAGGCACCGGCATCAGAATCAAACCCGGATCCATGCATGAAATGAAAGCATACAAAAAGACTTTGGATGTATCCGCCATCTCCGACGAGTCGCCATCAAGTGCACCTAATCGGGCCCCGAAAGAAACTGAAAGTAATCAACGGACTATCATCTCAAAGTTCATATAAAACTCACTTAGAGCAATGCTATCTAAGGCAGCAAGGCCGGCCCATTCCAACATGTTGATTTCCTTTGGGCCTTTGCTGACAAGCGCATCTAACTTTTCACAAAGCTATTGGAGCACGTTAGTAGTGCAACCCCCGCTTGTGAAAAACTGACCTCGGTTGCGGTAGCCCTAAACACGGGCATGTATAGCTTCAGTTGACTTGGCGAAGACATCGGATTGAGTATCCGCCGTTGATGTTGGTGAATGGTACCATCGGCAGCAATAATGCCTCTTCCCACTATCATATTCCACACATGAACGGTATCCTTCGCCTTTGGGTATCGATAACCGGAAATACGGAGGATGTGCTACGCAGCCTTCGGGTTCGAGGTCATCAGGATATCTTGCTACATTGTTACCATAATCAGGGAGGAGAAATGAACAAAGACAACAGAAGCACCTACAGCGAAGCATCCGCCGATACGAAAAGTGTTCCCATAAGTTTTCTGCCAGGTTGTCTCTAGACCACCAACGGAAGGTTGAACTCGTAGCGCCAATTCGTGACCTAGAAAAAGGTGCAGCACGCGTTGTCTTTCCTGCTTGGAAGCATACCTAGTAAAATAGATGGACGAGGAGGACCTCGAAGACGTCCTATTGCTTTAGACCGACGAAATTTCAGCAAGAAGAAAAGAGAACTTGAAAGGACGATGACCAAAAGTATTATGGTGATCTCCATTATCGTACGTCTTCATTGGCGTGCACCTTATAAGCAGACGGAGCTTTGATAATTGGAGCGTGATTCTCATGCTGAGTTTGCACGTTTGAACCTCTAACGCTTCAGTTAGTAAAGAAAATTTGCGAATCATCCGTTCCAACCGCTCCAGTGCGAGCTTAAGACCTATTCGAAAAGGAACACGGTCATAAATTGGCACGTAAAGGTCGACCGTTGGCACTTGAAAACAAAAAGGGCACTTTGCGCACCATCGACGGCACTCTGTATAGAAATATGGGACTATATGGGGATCCTCATCAAGCGGTTGCATCCAGGAAACTCGCACACATTGGTATCTTGATTGCTACCTTTGAATTTGCCATCGGAGCAAGTAGGACTACGTGCAAGCCTGCCGGAAGGAACCTACAGAGAGCGGTCAGTAGATGCAACGTGCGCGAATTCCACTAGGCTGATGGTCGCCGACGCAACTGATAGCATCATGCCTAACAATAAAAGGGAAAAATTGCCTCAAGGCGGACCCATGGCCAAGCCAAGAACTCCATCTCAACATGCATTGGTAGCATTTGGCAGAGTCTGGATCCTCCGCGATCACGTGCCCATAAAGGCGGGATTACCGTAGTTCTTCGTTTGTCTGTAGCCAGATCTGCAACTACCGCCAGCACTTCTCCATTATCCCTCTCGGACCTAGCGATATGGTTCCAGTAATCTGTTGCTGTTCTGAGCGCATTGAAGTCCAAACACAGGTAAGTGGCAACACTAAGAATCCCTGCGGATAGAATGAGTTACATCATCTGTAATAACGTTGAGTACTGTGACAAGAGAAAGATGTGTGTAGCGACATATGTAGGGCGGTTTCTTGTCACTGGCTTTCGACCCTCCCACTCGGCCCGCTGAGTCTTGATTGCTAAGAGGAAGTTGGTCCTCTGAAATTCCACTTGCGAAAGGCGCGCAAAAGTAGCTCCGTAGTGCTAGCGCACTTTCTCCCTCCCGAACGAGCAACAATCAGCCTAAAAAGTCATCAAGAGAATCCTCCATATCAGCCTTAGGGTCTTTGGGCGCAGCGCCTTGAGGGAGTGGCAACGCTGGAGCATTACTATAGGATGCCTCTACAAAAAGTTAGTCCCGCAGCCGACCATACAAAATTCTTGATTCGCCTTGCTTTCTGTATCGAGCACTGGGGACAACGGGCTTCTTCCGCAGTCATTCTGATTTCACACGAAAACGAGATTTGAGGTCTAAGTAAGGCTGAATAGGTGTACAGCGACAGTGAAGGAAAACTGGACCTCGATTAGCGTCAGCTACTGCCTTTTCCCTTCAAGCTCTTCGTTCCACGCGATCCTCCTGACCCTTCCTTTATACGACGATGCTTCTGATGCTACATGTATGCCACGAGAGAATGTATGCGCCAGCCAATCATCTCGTCGTCGTCCAGCAGTGCCGTTTGCAATGACGACCCTGGGTTGTCGGACAACCATTGTCTCTCAAAGAATGCTGACAAGTCCAGTTCTAGTTCCACTGCTGGTTCACTTAATAAGAATGAGGACGCGAATTATTAATATGCACAGAAGCGACGCACCGAACTCTGGATCTGGTTCACGATATCGGTTCCTAAATGTCTCTTAACTTGCAGTTTCTCGGCCCTGTCTTCTTCATCTCTTCGCCCAGTGCCTCGCCCTCTAGGACCAACTAGATTTGAGGTCTACCACAAACAAATATGAGTCGGGGTCGCCAATCTGGGGGTGCGAACAGTGTACGATACCCAGCTACATATTTGGACGGCCGCAACGGTGTAAGACAACTATAAACAATTATATAATTAATTATTCTGCAGTGCGCTAGCACTATTTACCTTTTTCTCAGCCGAATTATGATGCTGATTGTAGAAAATTGAAGCGATGATCAGATCCATTTTTGTTCTTCAACTTTCTTTAAACACTGAATGTATAAATAAGTATGAATCCAATGGAAGGATGACTAGTAGCTCTCAGTATAAGAATTGGATATACTACTAACTGATGGACTACCAACGAGGTACTGTAATGGGGGACTCGTAGACAATCCTTGCCTTGATTCTACAAGCTATATTCACGCCTCCTCTGCGTAAATCTCTCTCTTTTTTCATTGCTATACTTACAGTTATCGTATCGCTATCGTGCCTCATATCTTTATCATCATAGGATCATGAAATCCAGGTCGTCCATTTATTCTCGTCTCCTCTGGCAACCTGTGCAATCTGCTTCGCTACGATTCGGTCCGCCTGCTCGCTTGGATGCAGCTCGTCATACCTACATCGGTCATCCACGTCAAAGTAAGATCACTACCACAACCGGAAATAAACAAAATGGAATGCACCCACCAGAGATAACTATCCCGATCCGTCCCGAACACCGTCGTGCACTGGACACTACCAGTCTCGCCTTCTTCTGGATACACGCACGACACCACTGCACCCGTCACATTCAGTGGCGCCGTTCCATTCAAATACATTGCCGGGTTATCATGTATATCCTGAAACAGCCCATGCGAGTCGAAGATCCCGATATGGGCACCCGGAACTTCTGGTACCAAAGCCTGCAGCATCGCGCGCGACAGCGCATTCCCACTCAACACCAGCTCGCGGATAAACACGCTCCATTCTGTCGTGTTCCGCGGCCCGTTGAAGTAAAAGTTTGGGTACGAGTATGGCGCGTACAGGATTGTCTCATTCAGCGGGACCATCTACGCCCCGGGCCGTCAGCTGCGTCTTCTTTCTTATCGTGGTGGTAGTCCTTACATTTTGAAGCAAAAAAATCCTCGCCCCGTCCTCATACAGTACCCGCACCCAATCTACCATACAGCCCGCCACGTCTACGATCGACGCGTTATTGCTCCCTGTCACCAACGAATACACCCCCACATCATTGGTCCCTATCCACTGTGTGTAGAGCGTCTCCTCCGGGCCCAGCGTGATCGAGCCATTGTGCTTTTCCGCGAAATACAACGGAAGCTGGCTCTCGAATATCGACGGAAAGGGACGGGGCGTAATCTTGTTGGAGCATGTTGCCCCTGCGCGCGCAAAAGGGTACAGGCTGAGGTTGGCGTACCCCGCTGCATAGACGGGCCACATTGTCCCGCCATCGCCCATGGTGGTGATGTCGGTGTAACTGTCCCCAAAGGTAACCAGGTTTTTGACTTGAACTGCGAAGGAGAGCAGGGGAAGAGAGAGAAGGAGTAGGAAAGACATGGGAGGTCGTGGGAAGGTCGAACGTAGTGCTGTTTATATGGGTGAAGTTTCTCCGAGGTTGTACCCATGACCATTGCAAGCTCTTCTCATACGGTCCGTCGTCGTAAGTATTCCGGAGAGTCAACGAAGAAGTGCCACTGTCTTGTATCACAAGGATAGAACTTGAACACAAGAACACATTCAGAAATAAAACTCGAAAACTAAGGGTCGGAGTCGGAACTGGGTTCAGAACGTGAACGTGCATGATTCATAACGAAGCAACAGTCCATCGCAGATACGTTGAACTGGCGCGGAGGATGACCAATACTTGAGCTCCCTTCAGAGTAGTTCGAATGGACCATATGCTGATGTCATTTAGGCGCGCTGATAGGAGGAAAGAAGGGCGGGTTCACTTACCTAGGTGCGCAGGAATGTTCCCGAAAACCCTCAGGCCGAGCCAACGATGAGTGGAATCAACAATTGAGTTGGCAAAAAGTGGTCGATGGCCTTATAGCTTCTTGGGACTCTCTGGGAATAGGAACTGGAAGAGGGGTTGAAGGCAGATAACAGAGCTTTCGACTCAAACTGAATCGTTGCGTCGGTGAATCACATGAAAGTATGTAGCTCTGTGACGTCAGTGCTCACTCTCTCGCTCGATGGGCAACAGTCAGCCTAAAAGTTCGTCAAGAAAATCCTCCATATCCGCCTTGGGATTTTTAGGCGCAGCGCCTTCGGGGAGCGGTAACGCCGGGGCACTAACATAGGAAGCCTCTGCAAAAACTCAGTCCCGCAGCCGACCACACAAAATTCTCTGACTCGCCTTGTTTTCGTTCTCGAGTAGTAGAAGCAATGGGATTCTTTCGCAGTCGTTCGGATTTGGCACGAAAACGAAATTTGAGGTCTAAATAAGGCTGAATGAATGTACAGTATCGTTATTATAAAGGAAAACCGAACCTCGATTGGCGTCAGCTACTGCCTTTTCCCTTGACAATTCATCAAGCTCGTCGTCCCATACAATCTGCTCGACATTTCCTTTGCGCGACGGTGCCTCTGACCCTATACCACGAGAGGATATATGCGCTAGGGAATGATCTATGTCATCGTTGTTATCGGGTGGTATCGCTTGCAGTGACGACCCCGGGTTGTCGGACAACTTTTGTCGCTGCAGGAACGATGACAGGTCCACTTCTGGTTCGATTATTGGTTCGCCTAGCGAAAATCAGGACGCGAATCAGTGATATGCACGAAAGCGACGCACCATCGGAATCGAGCTCTGGGTCTGGCTCAGCGTATCTGTCTGCATTGGTGCCCAGATGCCGCTTGGAGAACTTGCGCTCCCTCTCGGCCTTTTCTTCATCGTCTTCCTCGACTGCTGCCTCGCCCTCTAGGACCAGCCGTTGGTGGGATTCCGCTGGTCGACCATATCCACGCCCTCGACCACGAGCACGTAGGTATTTTCCTAAGCCACCCCTAGATTTTCCTCGGCCTCTACCACGACTGGCATTGGTTGTCGATGCGGACGGACCAGGCTCCGACATTGGTCATTGATTGAAATATGGCTTGACCGCGATGGTGGTAGAATAATTATTTATTTAATTATTCCGGACCAAGTAACAAACCAACTCCATTTTTTGAGTCCTGTCTAGTAGATACTATACAGATACAGAGGATTTGGGTACGGAAAAATCTAATGATACAATACCGAAAGATTGTGTGTTGTGTATGGTTAGGTAATGCAGTGGAAGGAATTGACGGTAAACAACCTGTGGACGGATTAATAATGCGAAGCACGATGAACGAGTTGGATGCATTCGGGGTGGAGCGATATACACCCCTGTTGATAAAATGGATGCTCTAGTAAAAATGTTTTGGACAGAACAATGAGAGAGCAATGAAACAAAACAGTGAGAGGAGAAAGGAGGAAGATAGTAGCTGCCGACGTCCAAACCTGAATACGAATTGAAAGAGAATAACGACGGAGACAGATATGATTGACCAGTTCAACACGATGACGAACCAAACGAAGTGATACCAGTACAGCTCTGCGTCCGCTTTCGCGATGGCCTTGCGACGACGATCCCACAGAGCAACCGTTTCTTTCCAATCGCGCAAAGCCGCCTCTTGTTCCTCAGTAAAAAAAGGTAGTTCGTGCCGTTGCTTCCGCTTTTCGTCAGTGAGCGTTCTCGGTGGCACGACGTCACGGCGGCGTGCGGGAGTGCGCGGCGTAGGCCTATTCTCTGCGAGACGGGCACGAGCAACAGTTGTATCCGCGTCGTTCACAGTATTACGACGGCGGGGTAGAAACTGTGGAGACCTATTGCGGGGAGATTCCGTAGAGGAGGCAGGGGAGGAAGTAAACGCAGGTGATGCGAGTACAGAGTCGATACTGCGAATAGGTTCAGACGACGGCTCGAATATCGTGATCATCCGGTCGGGGGCGCTCAGAGCGCGACCGCGTTTGGGCCTTTTTGGAACACTCTTGTTGATACCGTTGTGGGACACGGAAGAAATCTAAAATCAAAAGATCAGTTGAACATCGTCGCGAACAATACATGGGGACAACGCACCGTCGCCGTATCAAGATCCACTCCAGATTTACGATTAAGGTCAGTGAAAAATGACACCAGTGAAGAACAGCTGGTCAATTTCCTGATCATCGGCATCGATATTGACCGATGACAGACTTGAGACCATATTTTTTTCGGAGACTTGGTTTTGGGAAGATATTTACGCCATATTGAAGAACGCAGGGAGGAAGAAGAAAGCGTGTGTAGCGCTGTAACAGGGCTCTCGTTGAGAGGATCTTTGGGAACTCTGGCCAAGGGTGGGCGTCGTAACCGCTGACGGGGAAGGAGACCTATATCGACGTAGAACGATTCGACTATCTAGGCACAAGTTCAGTAAAATGAAGCTATATTGGGATAAGAATCCGCCCACCCTCTGTGCTTCATTTGGACCATAGGCAGCCTAATAGTTCGTCAGTTAACGGTAGGATCCATTGTGGCTCGAGGGACTCACGCTGTCAGGAAATTCTACAACGTCTCCACATTTCCTCCTGTTCTCATTCCAGTATTCTCTAGCTTCCATGTAGTGGCCAGCGATGTGCTGCTGAAGTTCCAAGATGCATAGGGCTTCGAGGCGCCCTACAGGATCAGTCCATGGGTGACGCTGCAACGAGCCAAGATGATGAGTACGTGAGCAAAATAACACGTGGAATGTACACACAGGTCCAGGATACGAATAATTCATAGTGCGTTTTTCGTAGAGATTGAACGTTGAACGCGTCTAGTAAAAACAGAAAACGCTGAGTAGCCCGTGAAGAAGCCAACACTAGCTGCCAGCAAGTAAATAAACGAGCGAAGCGTCCAGCGTTGAAAATTTCTGCAACGAGGATAAGGTGCGTTCACAGAAGAGAGAGGTAGCGCTGGGTGGAACGACAGTCCCACGAAAAGTGCACCATCAGCTATTAATGAGAACAAATGCAGCGGAGTTCAAAACGCCACTCGTTTGCCACGCGTGAACATCCCATTGTTCGTTGATGCGAAACGTCCAAATTTGGTCGGGCCTGCTCTGTCAAAGCCTTTGTGTTTTGTGGGGCGGGCTCCCGCAGAATGCCGAGTTTGAGCTCCAGAGCTTTCTTTGTTACGGCCAGGGTCAAAGTCAGAACAGCAGCCAAAGTCAATATACCAACATCCGCCCGGCGCCCATGGACGAATTTCAGGCTTAGGTCGAAGCCACAGTGGCGAACAAAGCAAGGAGCCCGGTATCTGCTTCCGATCAGTGATATCAAACGTGACGTTATTACTATTTCAGGAATTCACCCTCGATGGTGTCACGCCCGCGTGGATAGTACCTGAAGCTGGACAAAGGAAGGCCAAAGCAGTAGGCGACCCAAGGATTGCTGATTAGTATGGCACAGCGGCGACCTGTCAAACCAATTTGTCATCCGCTGTTACATGTAAAAGTCTAAGAAAAATTCGCATATTCATACACGATAAATTACAATGGAAGATTCAGGCTCGCCACATCAACAAATTTTCCCGTCTTGAAGCTTTCATTAGCACACACTCCTACCGCAAGTGCCATGGCGCCATCCCTCTCGTTGGCCGACTGCTTAGATGCATCGCCTGTATCCACTTCTTGACCCGGCTTTGCTCCGAATAACACGCTGAGCATACGAATGTCACCTCTGCCGTGTGCCGAGTGATCAACCTTTACAGGAAGTTGCTGAGGCTTCTCCCACAGTCACTGGAGGGTGACCGTCGTACCCCCCGCATGAGGGAGTGAGTTGGTACCATGAATAAGTCTACCTAAGCCCTCTCCATCATTGGGGGAGCGGTAATCCGATTCGACGACATCAGATTCGAGGCGACCCTCAGAACCGTTGAACATTACACAATGCAATCTACTCCCGGCTGGGTGAGACAGAGTTCTGTTGCTCCACTCCCCACACGCTCGCATTCCAGATCGGAGGAAAGATATCCCCTATTGATCCGCGAGACTTTATTGTCCAAGCATATCCTAATACTATGGACATCTGTAATGCGAACATTGCCGTCACTGACATGCCTGTCCTCAGTGAAAGCTATCTCTACAGCTGGTGTCTTGGAGATCCATTTTTGAAGAGGCTTGTCTTCCGCCAGCGTTGGTTATTGATCCCAGTTTAATGTACACACCGGCTGTAGTGCCTTGTCCTCGTTTTATTATGGCAATCTGTCCTACCCCTCTGTGGACTTCCCCCGGATAGGACTACTCTCCACAGTACCGAGCAATGCTTTGAACAAGCTTATCGAGGCTGTAAATGCGGCTTCTGCCAGCGGTAATCTATATGGTACAATAATCCAGACATTGACTGCCCATCAGTGGCAGCCAGATTGATTTTGTTTACAGGAACAGCTGAATCAGCTCCCACTGGCCTTCCCATCATGGCTTCAACCAATTCACTTGGAGTGCCACAGGTTGCAGCAAACACAAATTTCGATGCCTTCAAATGGTGATGTGTTTTCATCAAATCGAAGACAAGGACTGCTAGGTGTTTGCTGTTGGTTCAGTCTTGTTGCAATCCTAGATCATGAAAGGCAGTTGAAACCTGCAGCTGTGACTCATAACCTTTCAGCATATTCACTGATATATATGTTCTGATTCATGATAATGAAAAACACAAGTTGTATTATTTGTATCCTGTATACTGATTCAATGTCCAAAATGCAATAACAGTGTCTAGATAGATAGTAGCAAACATACAAACTTAACTCAGATATCTTCTGGAGACTGTCAACAACCTGTGCCTTTTAACTTGTTCAAAGAATGCAGCAGATTTGAACATCAATCCCTCCAGCTTCCACTCAGCTTTCTCTTCTCCTTCTCTATCCCACTCTTCTGGGGTTACACTAAACACGAGCTCAACCTTGCTCAATTCCATCTTTGATAGAACTGCATCAAGCTCTGCCCACTTGTCCAGACTCCCAGATATGCCAATCAGGCCATACTCCAATTGGACCTCCTTTAAGCACCCCCCTTGGGCTTTGTGTAGCAGGTGTATGAGTCAATCTGTTAGCTCATCATAGTTTTTGCATCCATCTGCCACATTCCAGTGCCAGGGTGTGATCACAAGCAAATGAAGCCTGGTAACGTTTTGGATATCCGGAACGGGTATCTTTAGCTCGGAGACTCCCACTAGAAATAACTCATCCAGGTGCGTATAAGGAATCGCATTGTATTGTGGGATGTTCTGCTCCGGATGGTAAATTGGATAGGTAAGCCGTCGAATACGAGATGACATGGAGAGGAGCAGGAGGAGGCAATTGATCGTATTCATGTCCAATTGGGTATTGGCTGGGGTAATCACTAATTCTTCAAGCTCAAGAGAAACTTCAGATGATGAGGATGTCTCTTCAAAAATGTATACGTCGCATAGTGCTAGCTTGTTTAATTTGTGGAACCCACCGAGGAAGGTGCCAAGGTTCGTCACAGAACAATGCTTCATCTCCAATTCCTCAACTTCCGGCCAGATGGTATTAATGCCAACTAGGTCCACCTTGACAAGATGCAAGGACATCAAGTTCTTCATCATTGCAAAGGCAGCTGCGGTTCAGAGGCGACCCATGTATGAGAGGGGAATGGCCTGGAGGGCATTTTCACTTAAGGTAAGACTCCTTACAAATGGCGCCGCATTTTGGCACTTTTCTGAGAAATTTTCGCAGCGATTGAGCGACCGATGTGGGATGAAATCGAAGTGTATGGCACGGAATAGGTGATAGCGGCTGCGGTCGACAAGTTGGCGAGAGGATAATGTGCAAGCTGTGAGAGAGGGAACACCATCAGAAAGAGCATCAACTATTCCATCCATGAGTTCCGGCAGTAATCTAGGTGTCGGAACTGCACGTTGTAGGGTAGGTTGTAAGGTAATCATGGTGGTCATGGACAAAGTTCCGGGCAGGGGCTTTGAGGTCCCTCTCTTTATAAATACCGGGGACAAAAGTTTTATGTGAGGCATCTTAGAGTTTGACATTTGATTGATCAAAATTCACAAGATTTATGTCCACTCTGGTATACATCGCTAATATTAGTAGCACACTTCACATCTATCGAACCTCACGAATGAAAACTTGCTGCTTCGACTCGGCCGCGTTTGCAGCGCAATCGACTCTGCTTTGGACTGCCGGCTTATCATCAATTTCAAGACTGTCGCCACCGGAACAACAAGGGCATGGCTGATCGGCTTCTTCTATACTCGGGGTCGGGGCCGCTGCACGAAAGTCACTGTGGCGGCAAGAGTCCTCGCTCCTGCGGACACCACAGTCAGGGAGACCGCAGCAACTGTCGACATCACTGCTAGCCATAGCGATGTCAGGAATTCTTTCAGGTTAAGAAGACACCAAACGTAAAACGAGAGAGGGAGAGAATTGGTAGTGCAGATAAAGCTTGGCGCAGCACATGGCACGTACTCACGGTTCAGGAGTTCCCAGACATCTTACTACCTAAAGACAAACTTCTGGCTTGATGGAACTAACAAGCAGTAGCTTAGACTCAGTAATAAAAAAGGCAGCTCTCGGGCCGTATCCTTTGCCACAAAAAATCGTTACAAGGATCATATGTATTCCTGTACCAGGAGCGACCTTCAAGCAGCAAGAAAAAGCGAAGGATGAAGTTAAGATACCACGAACTTGTGATTAACGCGAATCCTCGACAAAAGACCTTCAAAAATTGTTTTACATTTCCAAACCAGCAGAAACTGAGCCTGAGAAAACATACATACCAAGCCTACTGTACATATAAAAACTACAATCAGGATAGCGACATTTTGGTTTCCATGTGTAGAAACGTTAAGTGAATCCGACGACATCGAGTTCGAGGCGACCTTCAGAACCGTTGAACATTGCATGATATCCTTCCCATGGGGAATAGGTGGTCTAGAGGCTGGTCAGTGGCTATGACAGCAATCAAGAATAAGAGGTACCAAGTGGTATGTCAGGGTTGCACCAGACTTGTAGCGCACCATGACGCTCATGTCGTCCTCGATAGCTATGTCAGGCCCGAAGACCTGTCAATGAGAGGGAATGTCAGAACGAGCACCGGCCAATGAAAAGCGCACCCACCTTCATATCACGATGATAACCGTCCTCACTCTCAGCTTCCGTATAAAGCTTCTGCAAAGTGTCGTCCATCTCTATATGCATGGCGAAAGGATCCTTCCTAGCTTCGTCGTTACCACAAACTCGCACAGTCTCTAGCCCAGCCGTTTCTCGTTCCTGCATCCTTACCATACATAGAACGCGGTCTTACCCATACCAGCGACAGTTTCCGGTTCTGAATCAATCCACCGGTTCACGAGATCGAAGTGATGGCCAGATTTGTGCACCATCAGACCGCCAGAATTACCCTTCTGCCGATACCAGCGATGGAAATAGTCCGTTCCATGCACAGTGTCGAGGAGCCACTCAAAGTGGATTGAAATGACTTGAGACTAGATCAGCCAATTATCTCGACATCTAGGCAATACAGCCTACCTGCACCAATCTTTCCTATCAGCGATAGTTCGCTTTCTGTGTTGAAAAAGAAACAGCTGATCGGTAATTGAAGGCAACGGTCAGATGACGACCGGTTCTTTGCACAGTTAGGATGGCGCTGCATTGTCGGCATCGGTAGTCATAGGCTTCTCGGTAAGTACCCGAACTGTAATAGGCAGATTAGAAAAGCCTCAAACCATATAGATTACCGTACTCACCTGCAGCCTCCAGCGCTGGAATGATATATAGATGATGCAAGGCGTTTATACAAGTGACAACAATGGCATCCACTCTTTCCGCCCTGAGCATGACTTTAAACTGCTCCGGTTTATATACAGGAACAGTCGGGGCGCCCAAAGACTTGAGGAGGTCGTTATAATACGCTGCGCGAATAGAGTTGGGCTCAAGGATAGCAACCACAGTGCTGGCAGGACGCTCAACGATGCCCCGGACAAACATCGCTGCACGACTTCCAGTGCCGACAATGGCCGCACGCCCGCCCATCACTGCATAGATGCAGGTTTCGCATCGCTGGAGGAGTATATGTAGGTCCAAGAGGCAGCACGCGGGCCGGTGGAAAGTAATTTGAGACCTTTTCCATATCTATCAGTTTTGGGACTTTGCCTTTCCAAGTCCCATTCTCCAACCAGCACGATCGTGAGACGATGCTCACAAGTTCAGGACTGCTGCAGAATTGACGGTTCGCCTGTCCCGTCGCGCAGCTCTAACCCCTACTCGCCGCGCTATTTAACATTGAAATATGGAGAGAATTTTCAGAGGCATTCTCCTCTTTTTTTTGTGTCATCCCAGTCCCCGCATCTTCAATGAAAGAGAAACAACTTCAGCTGGAGAACGTGTCGTCTCCTACGGATCTCGAAGGCCAAGCGCCACGCATCGGCAACGGTGATGCGGCTCTGGCCGTCCTGGGTGATAAAACTGCTCACAGAGAAATTACTGCCGAAGAGAATAAACGAGTACTTCGAAAGATAGACATGTGGCTCATGCCTATTACCCTTCTCGTGCACTTTCTGCAGCAGCTGGACAAGTAAGCGGGTTTTTACCCCATGATTCCCTCGTACTGACTTCCACTTTGATCCTCGCTTTCTTACACCTATGTATTTGGAATAGTCGCTGAAACAGGTCCGTGACATACATTCTCATAAGACTCGTTGAGCTTACCTTAAACTGCGTAGGACTGGTTGGAACCCAATATATAGCTGGCTCAGCAGCATTGTGTACTTAGCACAGCTGATATGGCAACCCGCCTCCTCGTACTTCTTGGTCAAACTGCCGATTGCCAAATATCGTAGGTTCTGGACATAATCTTACGCGTATTATATCACAGTGTTTTTTAACATTTTCATGTGGGGAGCAGTGGTACGTGTGTTTCTTAAAGGGAAATTGGACCGCCTTCGGACTCACGCAGGGAATAGGTCGCATGTACTGCGGCGGCCCATGATTTCAAGGGCCTGCTCGCGGGCAGATTTTTCCTGGGAATATCCGAAGCTACAGTTGGTATGTCAATAACTCCATATCTTCGAAACGACCACTTACGTCTTTACTAGCGCCTTGCTTCATGACAATAATGCAAATGGTACGCTGGAATATTCCACCTCGCGAAATCCTCTCATCCAATTTTCAGTGGTGGCGCCGACGCGAGCAAACGATGAGACTGTCCAGAGGAATCGGAATGGTCGGTTCTTTGTTTGCATGGGACTTGGTCGCATCAGCAGAAAATTGCATGCATATCAGGTGTGTAGGCATTCCTCCACGTGATAACCCCATCCTCTCTCTCTCACACCCGTTGTCTGTCACCTTTGACTGCCTTTCTTTCGCCTAACCTTCTTTTTCTTCCCCCCTATCATTGATAACTACTTATACCTCGCTGTATTACCAGAATCACAGGGCCTTCCAGAGAAAATCAAATATTTTATATTGCGTTCCGACGGTTGGTGCCGGCGACATGATCCCGAAGACCATGGCGCGAGACTTGGTGTCGAATAGGGAAACGCCAATGCAGTAACCACAAGACAAGACCGCCGGCCCCGCAGAAACCAAGAACTACGCAGGCACTGTGAAAACGAATGGTACGTTGAGACGTCATGGACTAGCGGAGCACCATATATGGAGACATCCTTTTTTCACGCCATGAACCGCTTGATAACCCAAGTCGCAATATGCGCTCCTTCACAAAAATTGACCACATTTGCCATTTTAGAGCCCCTCCGAGACACTGCAGTTGATTTTCTCCATCCTCTGGTCGATGCATGGGAGTTTATGTGGAATATCATGGATTACTATTCATGCGTTTTAAGAGATCGACCGGTCGGTAAAGGAATACCACTGTTTAACGCTCAACCTTATGATTCCATGCAATTGAACGCTCAATGCGCTAGGGATGTCTTTCCTCTCCTCGATGCGGCTATCTTTAACGCCGAGGCTCCACTATTGACTGAACTGCAGGGATCCTACGGTCTTGAGCCAATGCTTTGCATGTTGAAGTGGCTTCCGTGGTCGTCATCTATGCGGGTGGATCTGCTGGACGACTTACCTCAATTGATATCCGCTCTCCGCAGCTACAGCCAAGGTACCATGCGGTATTTCAACATTTCTGAAGGCCTTGTCGTGCGCCTACATGAATTCTGTAGTGACCAAGAGCTTGTGGCGACCCTTGAAGGGCGCGGAGAGGTTGGCAAGAGCCTTCGTAATAATATGTCGCAATATGTGAGAGACAGCACCATGCATACCAGTAGCCATGCATTCGATCTTAGGCCTAAAGGTAGAAAGCTATGGGTCAGAACTGACTACATGGGTTGGGACTATCCTCGTAGGGATGCCATACTCCATACTAAGGTTTACGTACAATCTATAACTCTACGGTACTTTCTACTACGTGTTTCTTTACTAATGAACGCTGGGATATCGAATTGGATAGCCATGCCAGTCTATGGATGATATGAATGTGGCAGCATTGATGCCTTTGGCCCACTGATTATCAGTATGTTCTTGTTATATGCCTTTTAGGCATTAACAGCTCATCTATTATTCCAGAGGGATTCGGTTTCAACGGTTTCAAGACAATTCTATTCAACATTCCCTTCAGCGCAATGCAAGCCGTCGTCACCCTCTTAGCTGCGGAATTTTCGACTCGACTTAAACTGAAGTGGCCTGTGGTTTTCGGCCTCACTCTGCCTCCTATTGCAGGTGCTTCGGGGCTTTATAAGTTGGGACGAGGGACCGAGTTACGAAATGCTTTATTGGGATGCTATTATGTTGTACGTTCTGCCATTTATCACCCAAGTTAATGTCATTAATTCACTATAGCTCTCATTCAGAACCGGTCTTCGTCAGTTTCTCCATAATTCTTCATGTATCTCGTGTTGACGTCTGTTTCAGAACCAATGTTACATATCTGGAGCTCGCAGAATACTGCTGGCCACGCGAAGAAGCTATGTAACACGGGCATAATTTTCGTAGCACAGTACGCTGGAAACGTGACGGCATTCCCTGACTCACGCCTTTTATTGAACTTTAAAAAAACTTCTCCGCGGATCGTCGGTCCCCTCTTGTATACCACGGACCAGAAGCCGTACTACCACAGGGGACTTATTGCCAAGTGTGTCGTTTCCAAAATGAAGGCCTACTACTTTGCTAAATTCTTCCCAATAGTTTGATTTGCTGGATATTGCTTTCTGTTATAACGTTGTACGTCCTCCACCTGTTCCCCAAGCGTCTGTTTCCTTAACATTGTTCAGGGTGACAGCAGCGTATCTGGCATTCCTTAACCGAAGACATGCCGAAAAACGTCGTCAGCTGGGGAAAGCGGGGAATATCACGGACAAGTCTTTGCGGAAACTTGACGACCATCATGATAATGACGAGGGAGAAGCCAAGTACGATCAATCTTTCGACGACCTGACGGATAGGAAAAACGAAGAGTTTATTTATGTCTTATGAATTTGGATAATGCATATATTTTTATTACATGAACTGTCCTGGACAGAAGTAATTCGTAAAGGCATAATATGCCAGTAAGAAAATAAGGAACGGTACTGGTAATTTCCTGCGCGCGAATACTATAACTTTGGATTTGGCGTTGATGGTCATCATCTGTATTTGCCCCATTATACATATCTGTCCTGCCGGGCAACCATGCGACAACAGTTGATATCCGTTGAGAGGTAGGAGACGCCGGCGGTACTAGTGATCGCGCTGGTTCGATCGGTCCGATCGAGGGGCTGAAAGACAGACGTCATACGGGGCGACGACGACGGAATGACGTATATCCCGATCACCCAAACCGGCCACCTCGACGAATATATGAGGCGCGCATTTCCAGCAACCCTCTCCAAACCATTCTTTCTTCCCTTCCCCCATCATCAGCGCGCAGTCCACCCCTTTCTCTTTGGATCAATTTCAGCGGCAGCGGTACCGGCGATACCCAATGCTATTCGGCGAACAAGAGATGGCTTCTAGCTTAAGAACACCAATATCGGAACAACACTGTATTCGCGCATCCCAAAGTAGGCAAGATAAGACCTTCCCTGAAGGCGAAGCGCACCAACGGCTGGGTCAATACCATCGCACCCCGCAACCCAGATGTATCCAACGTACGACCAAGCTTCGTGTTCGGGAATAGCTAGCCATCGTCCGAGGGAAATGATCACCGTCTCCAAGGTAACAACAGCCGCTTGCGCGAAGAATACGATAAAGACGTCTATCTCCCAAGTCTTGACCCCACCACATATCATCACACAAGATGCAGCGAAGCGGAGAGAAAGAACGCCATATAAAGTTAAATCAATGAAGAAGTGTAAACACCTCTCTACTCAAATAACGACCCGGTGAGGTAAAAGGCTGTAAGAATAGTCAATCCGACTACCCGAAGGGTATAAGATGGACTCTACGCAATCTTCTGAATACCTGATGCCATACAAGCCTGTACGAACCAGCCATTAGTTACGCTTCGATGAAACAAAGGAACTCACCCCCAAAATCATCGATACGTATACGCGTCACGTAGACGACCGTATACCCATGGACCACTCTTCTGGCCTCCACAACCAAGTCCGCGAAGATTGTCAGGGTACCATACGCCATTCCGAGAGTGGAACACGCCGACAGGGCGATAAGCACCCGCGCCCAATGCAGTACCACTCCAGGTTGAGATGGCAGCATGATACGGGACGAGGATCGCGACCAGGTCCCACAGCGTGTGAATGACTGACTGTTCTAGCAGGAAGCATGTCCTATGGTGCGTCATTGGAGGGAGAAGAACGGGGCTCGTGCATCCATCCCACACCTGAGGACTGTACATCAAGCTAAGGGCCCATCTAAGACGCTTGCAAAACGACTCTGTCGAGATATCTTCATCCTTGGGCTGGTCCTTGCGCCTCAGGACGCGTTGAGCATCCGTGAGGACCACGAAATCGACACTTCGTAGTACCAAATCAGAGACAATTATATTGACGACCATCGCATGCAGGCTAGGCCTTCATCGTAGCGGACGATATACATGGCAAGGAAAAGGACACGCAGGATGAACAGGAACCGAAACTTGCAGGGTCTAACCGAGACGGAGAGTACGAGGGTGGGTGGATATTCCGAGAAGCGCGAGCCATGTGTTTAGCGGGGCCGTCGTTGCGAGTCTAGGATCGCTGTGATAGGAAGTGGATGTTTTGCTCATTGCAGCCTCACAACGCCGTACAAAGACCACAAGCGAGGGTACGTTGACATCGCCGCTGGCTTGTGGCGGCGTTTGCCCCGCATAGAAGCAAGAGCCGCGATGGCCGCGCAACAACTATGGTTGATCGTAAGCACTCAATTTGGACATCGCACCTAGTTGAGATGAGAATGAACATGCCAGAAAGCGACAAATAGAAATACAGCAGTCCGTATGTAGTATACAGACACATAAATAAGCAACCGACGCACATCACAAGTCATTCCATCAAAGCGAAACATGAGATCCCGTTACTGTTACTCGCTGTTTGAATGGTCAGGATGAGAGGAATGACAAGAGACGGAGAAACTCACAAGCGACGACCGCTTAGAGTCGATGGCGGGTGTCAACGTCTTGTTCTTGTTGCAAAGGGCCAGGATAGGCTCAGGACCTTTAGCGTAGTCCTCGCGGCTCGGTGAAGTGATCGACAACACTTTGTTCCACTCCTCCGGCAGACCCTTATAGAATCCTGTTATTCGAAATCCACAAAGACCAAGAATGAGCTACCCACAATAAACTGTCCAGTTATAGGATCAAACCCTACATGTGCATTGTGCACAAAGTTGTATGGATCACCTACATCGACCTGGGGGACCGGCTTTCTCTTGATCTTCGGAAGCGTCGTCGATTTCGCTACATCCTTGTTCCATTCTTCTGGGATGCCCTAAGCAATGAATGCGCGATTAATACACGTCGCTTATAGGCCGGATAAGAAGACACGTACTGTAAACCCCTTGGTCACCGGGTCAAACCCTACATGGACGTGATGCTTGACATTGAAAGGCTTGCTCACAACAATCAGGGAACTCCGCGCTTGGACCTGATCCTCTTTAGGGTCTTGGGGTGTCGCAGGCGGTGGCTCTGCCAACGCGTTTTGCAATTCTTCGGTGAGGCCCTAAGACCCGCGGTAAGGAAGGGGCAGCGGCATAACACATAGCGTGGAGTACTGCATACCGTAAAGCTCCCAGATAGAGAATCGAACCCAACGTGTTTGTTGTGCACGAAATTGAAAGGAAGGCTGGCGCCTACCAATGGGCTGCGGTTGTAGATATCGTCTTGCCACCCATACAGCTCATTATCGCTCTTGAGATCAAGGTAGTACCGCTTATTCTTAGTCTCCAAAAGAACACAGCACGGCTTCAGATCGGTTCGCTCGACAGTTTTGAGTTCCTTGAGCGGTATAATGCTTTGTGGACGCGATGATTTCTGGCAAAGAAACGACAGGTCAAATAAACTCGAAAATTCTGCCGATCAGTACCTGAAATTTGCGTATCTCCAGCGTCTCCTGCTTCAGCACCAACCATTTGCGTCTCCAGATCCAGCTGGTGAAGACCCCCTTCGTCTTCAAACTGACATAGCCTGACCGTATCGTTAAAGTCGAATCGCTGCAAGAACCCATGGTACCGAAGATGCAAGGCTCGAGAATGAAAGAAAGAGAGGTGCCTAGTGCTACCTAGCGCTATATCGTCGTGGCTGATGAAGAAATGACTGCGTACAGAGGCGGTGATGGGAGCAAGAAGAAAAGGGGTCTTAGTGGCACCGAGTTAGGACGGACTTGGTAAATATATATTTTACTGTTTGATGCGAGATCAAAAAGTCACTAAGGAAACAAACTAATCCATGAAACTCTACCCACTCCGAACCCCAAGTACAGCTCATTCTAGGTGCATCGAAACGCCATCTCATCTCCCTTTACTCATTTTCATCGATAGTACATTATAAGCATGAACCCTTTCCAGACTTGAGAACAGAAACTGTAAGAGTAAAAGAAAGAGACGTGGAGGTTAGGAAAGAAAAGCTGTGGAACTACGATGTCGAGATAGAGATAAACAGGAGGAATCCAGGACTCGGAGAAAAAGAGAGACGTGCCCGGTAGGTGGATGATTAATGGTGTTACCGTAACAGACATCGTGGTGGGTCAGGACGGGTTTGATAGCAACAGTAAGGGTGATTATAGATAGTCAGGCGCAAAGAATTGTGGAGCGCGGATAAAGATAGACCAGAAGAGCGGACTCATGTTTGCCTATTCCTGAATCGCAAGAGAGGTGCAAGCCCAGGTGACATACAAGCCTTCTTCAAGAACTCATGCTACAAAAAGATACCAGCATCAGCACCCCATCACAATATAAATATACAAAACACATACCTCAAGCAGCTCATTCGCCGTTGCCCGACTGCTTACGTCCACACACAAACACACAGCTAAGAATCCCTTCAGTTCCCGACTCAACGCCTCCGGCCTCTTCAGCGTCGGCGTTCCATTCGTTGCAATCAAGTAAAGGGCCTTCAATGGCTCTTCATCAAGATAAGGTGGCTCATTCTCAATCATTTCAATAGCCATGATCCCCAATGACCATATATCCACCTTGGCTCCATACTCTTTCTGCTTGACGACTTCAGGCGCCATCCAGTACGGCGTCCCGACCATCGTCGCCCGTTTCGACTTTTGATCCGTAAGTTTGGCACAAAAACCGAAATCGGCTATTATAGACAGTCCAATTCAGCAAAGGAAAACGTAAAAATAAATGACAGATGAACACACTGATCTTAACACGTCCTTGGGCGTCAAGAAGGACGTTGTCGGATTTAATATCTCGATGAATGATGCTTTGGCTGTGTAGATGACCAAGTCCCTTGCACGTCTAGTTGGGCAAATCAGTCAAAAGATGCCAATGAGGTCAGGGGGAAACATACCTCCAGACAGATGCTCGATATTTGATCCTCCTCGAGAGTATTGTTCTCGATTATGTCAGTCAACGCCCCTCCCTCCATATATTCCATGACCACCCACAGTTCCGTGCTCTTGACCAGATACGACTCCAGGAAGTTGACAATGTTCGGATGTTGCGACTCTTTCATGACCAGAATTTCATTTACGATCAGTTCCTTGCGAGGCTGATGCGACAGGTCCATCTCCTTGATGGCCACCTTCTTTCCGGTAGAAATTGTCTTGGCAACATAGACATGACCAGAAGCACTTTAAGAAACGAAATATTAGGAAACAGACCTCCAATGGCGAAACAAAACCACATACCCTTGTCCAACCTTCTTGATCTTGCTATACAGTGTCTTCGGGTCTTCCGGCGCCACGACTGACCTCAACTTCTCCATGATCTGCACCTCTGTCATGGTGCTAATTCGCTTCTCCTTCTCCTTGGGCTTCTCCAGAGCTGCCGCAGCAGCTTCAACGCTACCCGATGGCTTGGGCGGCCTCTCCTCTATCTGAACCTTCTTAGGATTCAACGGTTTCACAGGGGGAGGGCCCACTGCCGCACCGGCAGGGCCTGGCACCGGGTGAGTCGCAGGCTCGGAAGTTGCTGGAGCAGTCTTGCTCGACGCAAGGGGAGGTCGTGAGCTGGATGCCTCAGGCGTCTTGGATCGCTGCTGGGGAGGAGAGGGTTCACGGTGGACTTTTGGAGGAGGCTGTTGAGTCTGTTGTTGTCCTTGCAGAGAATCTTGCCGCGTTGGAACTGTTCCGGCGGCCACAGGTGGACCTTTCGCTTTCTGACGAAGCTGGAGGTCTGCGGAAGATGGTGTATGTTCGCCAGATGGTCTCGGAGCAGATGGAGCAGTTCTATTGGTAGTTAAGAGGGGTCGAGGAGGGGCAGGCCGGGAGGCCTGCAAGTTGCCGACAGGAAGTTGCGCCCTGGAGGAGCTGGCCGATATCGTACTATATGCTCCATTGGCAGTAGCCCTGGGGATATCGCCATTAGAGGTAGAAGATTCAGAGTCTTGCCTTCTCATCCCTGGACGCGAAGATAGGTCCAACGACAAAGACGGGGGGAGAGGCGAATTGGACTTTCCCATCCCGCCGAGACCTGTGCCAGCATTGAATCGCGCAGGTGCGCTTGTATCCGGGTACGACAACATAGAAGGCCCCGCTCTCGACATAGGGGCGTTCTCCTCCATCTCACGCTGTTGATGATCTGTATAAAACTCGAGTACTTCTAAAACAGCTTGTGGATCTTTGGCGTAATCCTCCTGTGTGATGGCCGACTTGGTCAACAGTTTGCTCCATTGTTCCGGCATGCCCTATTTCAAAATGGATGAGAGCGGAAGAGGGGTAGAATGAAAGGACGCACTGTGAAAGCTCCGGAAACCGGGTCAAAACCGACATGTACCTTATGCACAAAGTTAGTTGGGTTGCTCACACCCATCAAAGGGCTGCGCGTATAGATATCGTCTTGCCAGCTGTACAGTTCTTCATCGTTTTTCAAGGAGAAGAATAGCCGCTTCTCTTTGGCCTCCAATATCAAGCAGTACGGCTTAAGATCGGTCCTTTCGATGTTTGAAATATCTCGCAGCAATATCACGGTCTGCTGAGGCGATGTCTACAAAGATGTGTGAGAGCGGCATCGTCAAGAAACGGTGAAGAGACGCACCTCAGATTTATGTATCGATAAGGTCTGCTCCTTCAGCACTAGCCACTTCTTTTGCCAGATCCAGCTGGCAAACGTGCCCTCCTCCTTAACGCTCACAGAACCACTACGAACCACAGACGGTGGCGGACCTGTTTCCATGGTACGATTTGGTGATCCGCCGATGCCAGAATAGGATGGGGTATACGTCGACGTCGACGGTGAGGTAGGCGTGTACGTGAACGAGGAGTTGTACCCTGAAGAGGCAAGCGAACTACTGTACAACTGTGGGCTGTCAGGTCCTCGTCGTTGCGGAGCCTGGGGCGCTGGCCGTGTTGGAGTCAGCGATGTCGCCGTGATGTTGTAGGCCATGTTACTGAATTGATTGTATGAATATCTTGATACAGGGTCCTGTACCGCTCTGCCTACTCAGAGCAAGCAAAAGCTGGTGTTAGCAAAGAAAAAGTACCCGGTCATAAAAATCGTGCGACAATCACCCTTGTCGTCGCCGTCGTTATCCACAATGATGAGGAAATACGTTTAGGCGCTGTCTGAAATGGTGAGGAGGACAAGGAAGGCTTTGTTTGGCAATGGCATTGACGGCGACAAGGACCGGTTAGATCCGGGACGCCAATCACCTAGGTAACTCTTTTTACACCAAACGTCTTTTCGAACATTCGTGTACATAATGAAAGTTGTCCCTTGACCAATATTCTGCTCTCAATTGTGGTCCCATGTCTGAATTTTTCGTGGTATACTTGCCTTCAGAGAGGCAGGGCCGTCAATGGATTTCCATATGGGATTTCTTCAGTGGCAACAATCATGAATTCGCTGTTTGACAGTGCAATCATAGAGTAGCGCCACACTTCAAAATTTTCGGGGGTATCTACATTTGGCCAAATCTGATGATTGATTTTCGCAGGCAGGCCGGTGCCTCGGTCAGAGTTATCACTTTTCATCTGATGAAAAGATCGCTCGGAGGAGACCTGACATAGAGGCTTGGGGGTCCCCCGCTCATTGTTTGAGAACATCGACTTAGACCAGAACCATTCAGCCCGTCGGCGGAGTCGACGGTATCAATATCCGAACTTCGGCTAGAAGAATGGAATTTTACTCCATTCTTCGCAAGGTGAAATCTGAAGCGGTGAACAGAGGATCAATGATATTTGAAGCGTGACAGAGTCACCACCGTGACTCCCGCCAAAGGCCAGAAAGATTTATCGAGTAGTAGTGATTGTGCATTTGAGGCCACTTAACAGACCCAAGATTCGAGCGTTGCATGCGTGAAAGTGACAACGTGAACGGACACAGGACATCACGTGTTAGATTGCACCTCTGTAATAGCAATACATCTGAGGAGTCCTTAAAAGCTACTGGGAGCGTGGAAGAAGACCATGACAAGAAGCCTAGAGGAATATTAACCGCAGTGTGATTGGGTGAAGAAGCATGAACATACCTGAACACACTCCGGCATGTTGACGGGCCCTCGCACGCCGTCTGAAGCCGCCAAAGAAATATAGCCTTAGTTTATACAAGAGGTACAGTGTGCAAGAAAGATACCACCGGAATAGCTTTTGACGTCTGAATAGCATTGTCAACACAGAGAAGCCGGCATCTGGTTCTCAGAAGAGACAGAACCTACACGTCTCAAGCCGAGCTGCTGTCACTGGTGCCCAGGAAACTGAATGGAACGTTTCCAAGACAGTCGACTAACCTAATGTTATGCAGGGAAAAGGAAGATGGTTCCCCGCTCGTAAATTAAGATAAAACCACGGACGACGTTTATCTCCATATGCATATTCGGTATGTTCACAGGCTCGGAAAGCGGCAGGTACTCTTCACAAGGAAAGGTTCACACTTCTCATACGACAAGAACGGAGGTGCCAGGGAAAGCGTGACGGAAAATGAATTGCAACGTATAAAGACATGCTTGGTACAGTGTTGACCTGTCACCGTTTCTTGGATTCCTTCGTCATCTTTTGTCTGCGTCGAACGTAAGGTCAGTGTTAATGTGAACATCACAAGTGGCTCACTTTGTTGGATTGTTCTTCCTCGTGTGCGAAAACTCGCCCAGCTTGTGTCCCACCATGTCCTGCGTCACGAGTACGGGTAGGTACTGCTTGCCGTTATGAACGAGAAATCGAATGCTGGGTACATGCATTAGTCATTTCTCAGAGTCAAGCCTCCAAAGAAAAACTCACCCAACGAAGTTGGGTAGAATCGTGCATGCCCGGGCTTGAGTCTTTATCGCGACATTCCGTTGGGCGGCATCTTTAAGGTTGGAAAAGGCCACAAAATACGGACCTAGCACACGCGATTAACCAGCAAATACCAATCAAACAAGAACTATTCACCTTTCCAAGCAGATCTCCCCTTGAAGAGGCTAAGCGTCGGCCGCATGAAGAAAGAAGAGAATGCAAAATATTTGTCCCGCTGGGAATTTCATCAGGCACGTGATGTTTCTCGATATGGACGATCTGTTGGTCGAGTTCACCTGTTCAGTGCTCACGCCATGGTTCACAGGGTCGTGGACACTAGCCCTAAAAGTCACATTGCATTGCTATCTTCTTTCCAACAGGTGTCTTTGGCACGAGTGAAGCACACCTTCCGAGGGATTTCTGTATATAAAACAACGTTGTATTCAAAGGAAGGGGATGCAATGATCGCTATTCGCCAAAACACTTCCGGCCCGACCTCTACCGTCACAGCAGCGGAGGCGACCAACGGCGCTTCCCTTGGAATCGGGTCTTCAAATAGCGCCACCAAGGTACGACCATCACAGTTTTTATCCTCGGTCAGCTCAAACCATCATCTGCAAAGTCGACTTTGGAATGGATTTTTATTGCCTTGGTCTGCATTCTCATTCTGTCTGTAATATCACGGAGGTGCGTTCATATCTGTCTTCATTCCACCAATCTCCTGCAACTCTCTACAGAATGATGCAACTGAGAGCACGTCAAATACCTGTGTGGAATTTCTTTAGATCCCCCAGGCCCGTTCGTGCACACTCCGTTTCTACGCCAGGGTATACGTTGCCTCGGTTAACTAGTATACCAACGGCTTATCACCCTCCGGCACGCATGCGGGCAGTGGGTACTGCTCAGGAGGTTCAGGGCGACAAGGATGCTCTCCCGGCTTACGATAACGCCGGCGGTCCACCCAAATACGACGAGATTGGGTCGACGTTCATGCCCCGGGTGGACTCTGAGAGAGTACCATCGGTTAGTAACACGATTAATACGCGGCCGACATTCGGGTCCGAAACCCACTCTGCTGGCCCGAGAAGTTAATAATTCTCCCTATATCGTTACTTACGATATTTCGCCACCGTATCTCTACCTGTATTGGCCTTCATCTGCTCCTCGCTTCTTTCCCCGCCTTCAATGGCTTTGATATCTGCGGCGTTGGAGGAAACATATGAGCCCTATGGTGCAGACGCTATTTTATTAGCCGGACCGAGATTAAAAATATGGTTGAACTTGAAACAAATGAAAGAAATAACAAAGTAATATTGCAGGCGTAGCACTCGTGGCGAGCTCGAGACCGGCGATAACTATGGTGACAGGTAATCTTAGAGCAGCAGAAGTCGCATAGGACGGAGTACAGAGCCTCAAATTAATCGGAATCTTTCATCTCAATAGGAAGCTGTCAACGACCCAAGAGATGGGAGAAACCTGCATCGAGTCTCCATGGGGGTATCCTAAAGTTCCCATGGTGGATGTTATCATCCTCAGAAAAATTAAATTATTGAAGGCCTAGTGAAGCTAGAAAAAGTGGAGCTAGAAAAGTACAGATAAACGATGAGTGAGAGCCACAAAAGCACGCAAATGAACAGTATGTAAGAGGTGGCAGAGAGATGGATACAGAAACAGACTCTGCCTTACTACTCTAGTCACTTCAGTCACCAGGGTCAGTCACGGTAACCACGACCACGTGAAAGCGATGCTGTTCGCCACAGATTCTATAATTGAAAAATTTCGCGCCTTTGCTTTCACCATCAACTGACTCTCCTTGAACATGAATCGTAATGTTGGATTGAGCGTTCTACAAGCCTTGCAGGAGGCGGGGTGGTGTCAGCTGCTTCTCAACGTAAGTGGGCACTCCCCTTTGTTTCCTCTGTGCTACAGCTTAGTCCCAAGCCTTTTTAACTACGAAATTGGCGCTGCCGGAAAAGAAAGCCAAACGAAGCGGCCCTGTATCTATTGAGGGCTATAGAGAACCACAACAATTTCGACGCCTTCATCGGGATTTCGTTCCTTATACCTGATTGGGAGAACAGATTGGACATGCTAGCCACAGCGGCAATGGATGATGCGTTGATCTCTGATGCACCGACGCGTCACCTTAGAGAATTTTAGGCCAAAAAATTGCTCAAAACGTGTCTCGGGTCCAACTACTTCGGCGATAATGGTCCTCATGTCGGCAGGTTCCGGGAGATCCTCGAGACGCGTCCATATATGCGCGTTTTTCAAGCACAGGTACGCATGTTCTTTGAGAGTGGAGACTACAAGTCCTCGGCGTAGGTTTTTTTCTATTTTGATCTACATCATACGTGATTTTGACGCGTTATCAGTCAGACCATCATCGAGATACTTCGTCTTGGTCCCAGAGACAATATGCGTCAGCGTAGTCATCTTGGACCTATTCTTTGTCGCCTTGAGCGCTACTCAGATGCATTGTACTTGGCCCGTCCCTGGATGGAGGATTTCATTGTCGACCGTAAAGTCTACATGCCTCCTTTCCGCGACGGAACAGTGTTCAAAGCCCCGGAACGCAGATTGTTCTCTCCGGAAGTCGAGAAAAATCTGGGTAACAGTCCGTGTTCCATGACTTATACCGCAGCAAGAGCTGCGTTTAAACTCTGGGGTGATTGCGAGGAATCACGCCAGTCTCTGAGGATCGCGTCCAAAGGCAACCCTCACGTAATTGTCAAGGTTCTCGGTAAGATCAAACGCCCTAGTAAGCATTCTCAGTACTGTATCTCTTCTCTGTTGTAGTCAGGGTTTTGTAGAACAATTGAATATGAATGCGCTAGGCTGGAATGGACCGGAAGATGCACATGATTATCTTTGGCTGGTGTAGGACTTGTGGATGAAAGACGATGTCTGGAATTGGGCCAATGAGCATCCTGACGCCAAAGGAGCGACTTTCAAGAAATGCGGAAAGCCCTATTGTACACAGAAAGAAAGGCGTGCTGCGGAATTCCAGCAATGTTCGTCCTGTCATCTGGTAAGCTATCTTGGTTCCCGCAATGTTAGAGGCTAACACGTCCTTTAGGTCTCGTACTGCGGTCAAGCATGCCAGAAGGATGATTGGAAGAGACACAAACCTGATACGTCTTCACGGTTTACGATATCGCATTCTGAAACTCTAAACAACATTTTCTTTAGATTGTCAGTTTCACAAGATGAAGAAAGCTGCAGTTTAGGTATTCAGTACTGGGAAGAGCACGCTACATATATCTCTGGTAGTATATCGGTTAGTACACGCGCCTGTCATTGTGTTTAGCACAGAAGACGTTCGCGTGAAAGCTGGGTTCGACTCCCAGCCAGAGAGCATCTGCGTTCATTCTCTTGGACCAACTTTTATTCTTTGACTCTCCGTACACATTCCCGGGTGTTATATACTGTCTGTGGGTAGACAAGCTGGTTCAAACCTTCGATGAAATTAATGGATTATCTCCAGTCAGGGTTAAAGTCAGGTCCATGCATGTCTGTCATTTCTCCTAGACCATCACCTGTATGACATTGCACTGAAAAAGCTGTTCTGTGGTACCAAGATACAATGTCTTACTAGGGTAGCCGTTTGCCCAGGGACCGACCATTGCTGCAAAGATATCGGCATTTCCAGGCCATTTGCCTTTAACTCGCTTCATGATACGGGCACCAATAGCTCTTGCTGAATTTTTATGGAGGCGGTCTACATAGACCATGCGCAGGGTCGAAAACATGAGAAATGTCGCAAGGGCCATCAGAAATACTATGGAAGGGGAAGCATCCCAGTTCTCTAGGTTCAAGAGAAGGCCCCATTGTTGCAAAAAGGTGGCAAAACCAGCCATCAAGGTGACGGAAAGGAATCCAGCTGCGAGAAAACAAATTCCTGTGGTGAGAAATCATGATGAGAGTGGGAAGAAACGAGAAATCCAAGATGATATAGTATGATGCTGATTCCAGCCGAGTAGGTGAAATGAAGTCACAAGAGCAAGCAAGCAGTAATTATCAAGCTGGCGATCTTCAAGAAACAATGACAGTAAATTAGACTGGTTATCATGGGATAGATATACTTCTGTCTAAGAAAGTGACACGCGTTTGTAGCACCTAATAGATTATGCTGTTAGCTATAACGTAGACCTCACATAGCGTAGCGATAAGCAGAAATGTGGTGTTGTATTCACTGTACCTAATAGATTATGCTGTTAGCTATAACGTAGACTACAGAATACCAATCAGTGACATAAACGAAGTAATATAAGTAGATACTCACCTTCACACAGTATAGTGATAAGCAGAAACACGGTGAGGGTGCTTGACAGACCATATTCAATATATATAGTCCATCCCGACATAAAGGGGTATCGAGCTTGGCCAGCGGGATATGACGGAGCTCCTGCTTGCTAATCCAACACTCCCCCTCAAGCAGAGCGAAGTCCAAGCTCAGTAGCAAAGTGCTTCACCTTGGCTGAAGGTAAAGGCTTGGTGAGAGCATCGGCAATCATGTCCTTGGTGGGACAGTAGACAAGATGAAGGGAGCCTTCACTGATGACCCAGCGAATGAAGTGGAAGCGAATGTTGATATGCTTGGTTCGGGCATGATACTGATAATCTTTTGAGAGCGCAATAGCAGACTGATTGTCTGAGAATAAAGTTGTAGCCTCAGTAATCGGTGAGAAAACCTGAGAGAGCAGACTGTGAAGCCAGAGTGCCTCCTTCGATGCATGAGTTGCAGCCACGTATTCAGACTCGGTGGTTGAAAGTGAGATGATCTCCTGCTTTTTAGACGACCACGAAACAGCTCCACCATTCAGCATGAAAGCGTACCCAGTAATGGCATGCCTATCCTCTGCCATGCTCCCATCAGCATCCACATAACCATGCAAAACCTTTCCGTTTCCCCCAAACGTCAGCCGGTAATCCCTCGTGCCCTTCAGGTAGTGAAAGATATGCTTTACAGCCTTCCAATGAGCCTCTGCAGCAGCCATTGAATATTTCGAGACTGTTGTCATGACAAATGCAATATCAGAGCATGTCCTGAGCATAACCCAGATCAAGGAGCCAACAGACTCCCTGTAAGGGACATCTCTCATGGCTGCAATTTCTCGGATGGAGGCTGGTGCAGGAAAGGAAGACAAACGGAGATTAATATCCATTGGTGTAGAGACTGGTTTGAGGTCTTCAAAGCCATAGCGATGAACAATGGCATCGATGTACGAGCATTGGGAAAGAGAAACGGAGCGTGACTCATGGTCACGCGTGATCTCGATGCCGAGAATCCAGTGCAGCTCCCCCAAATCTGTGACTTCCATGTATTTTGCCATACCTTCCTTTATCTCTCGCACTAGACGCAATGATGATGCTGCGATGGTGCAGTCATCAACATGAACAGCAATGATAGTCAAGTTTCGGCCCTCCTGCTTGTAAAACACGGCTTGATCAACGTCGCACTGCTTGAATCCCAGCTGCACCACCAAAATCTCAACGAGACGTTGATACCAGCAACGACCACTCTGCTTCAAACCATACAGAGTCTTTATGAGATGGCAGACTTGACCAGGATGGGAGCCAGGCTCAGGATAGCCAGGAGGTTGATGCATATAAATGATTTCTTCGTTGGTGAGCTTTCCATTCAAGTATGCACCCTTGATATCGACTTGATAGAGCTCTAGGTCGAGTGCCGCAGCCATAGTAAGGATTGAACGGATAGATGCAAGCCTTGCAACAGGGGCATAAGTGTCGAAGTAGTCAACACCAGGTACTTGTGAGAACCCTTGTGCTACCAAGTGAGCCTTGAACTTGACTATGCCTCCCTCAGCGTCCTTCTTGATTCGAAAGACCCACTTCGAGCCCATGACATTTGCTCCAACTGGTTTTTCGACAATTTTCCAAGTCCCTGCAGTCTTTAACATCGCAAGCTCTTCCTGTATTGCACCTTCCCACAAAGGCCAATCAGGCTGACGCTTCGCTTCAGTTAGACTGTGTGGCTCTAAGGCTTCTGCATCGGCTGTTGAAATGGCCATAGCATACTCCTCAAGGAAGTCAGCATCCTCGAGTATCATCAACCAATCTGCCTCTCCTTCTCCCTCAAACTCGAGAGGTTCGTTGTTTTCATTGGCAACTGGTAACTGAACACCAACAGATACCACAGGATCACTTGGGCATGCCGATACACTGCCTTTGCCAGAGATGAGGTCCAGCACCCACTGGCTAGGCTTTTGAGTGTGTCCAGAACGGGTTTCTTCAACTATGGGTTGGACTGTAGGCTGGGCTTCGGGGGTAGGTGATACCTGTGATGGCTTTGCAGTAGGTGGATTGGGCTGAGTTTTTGGCATTGACAGAATCTTGTGTAGTTCAATGTCTTCCTCCCCTTCAAGATCGTCAGTGGCAATACGAGTTGTGTTGAAATAGACATTTCGCTCGATGGACACCGTCTTGCTCTCTGTCCAGTAGACATGGGATCCATTGCTTGTTTCATTGAATCCAATCCACTGACCTTCACGTACGTGGCCACCCAGCTTCATAGCCTTAGTCTCAAGGCGTACCCAGCATTTCTCTCCCCATTCCTGCAACCCTTTTAGATCTGGCTTCTTCCCTGTGACAGCTTCATAAGGAGTCATTCTATCTAGAGCCTTTGTCGATGTTCTGTTGAGGACCCAGACAGCATGGCGAACAGCCTCAGCCCATAGGAAGCGAGGTAAGCCGCTTGAATGCAGCATAGCCCTGACTTTTTCGATAACTGTGCGATTATACCTTTCAGCCACCCCATTGTGCTGTGGCGTATCATGCACAGTCATCTTCATTGCCATGCCGGCATTTTTCAGATGCAAGACAAATGCTTTGTCGAAGTATTCACCTCCACAGTGACACGCCCTCTCCTCGTTCAGGCATGTAAAATTGTGAAAATTGTGAATACATGGGCTGCATTCCAGGCCAGTAAGCATGTAACAGAAAATAGGACTAGAGCACACAGAAACCTCGCTATCATAATGATAAACTGGAGTAACAATAAGCAGAGTGCATGGCCTAGTAACAGACTGATACCAGATGTGTTAGGCTGCATGTGAGGTCCCAGCACTTGGCCCTAAATGCACTAATACTATTACAAGAGGACATGCTAAAAATAAAAAGACTATGATCGAAATATGAT